TATGAAAACACATACGCCCTTTTCAAAATTAGTCTTGAGTCAGAATGGTCTCGTGATCTGTGGAAAAATCCTAATCTCCCATACTGATGACATTTTAAAAGTTTCATCAAAATTTAAGGGGCTCGTGCCAAGTCGTTTGCTCATTCGACAGAGAATTACCAACAATCAATACGAAACTAACGATTTTAAATTGGCTCACCACTTTAGTAGCCTATTGGTCCCAAGCAAACGATTAACGTACCCTATTCTAGTCGAAATTCTAGTACTACGCAATGTTTGTTTTGATTCGCTATGAAAGTTTGACAGATAAAATGAGGGGTTATTGGTTTTTCCTATGTTTCGAGGGGTGATTCGACAAGCTTGGGACCGAAGATAGTACCAGAGTTGAGCCAAAAAGTTGAGCACGTTTCTTCGGGACCAAATTGTCTTAGAGTTACCTCTATGGAATTACTCTATATCAACTCAAGCTCATGTAATTTTCAGTAACTTTTAGAGTGCTGGACCGTCAGCAAAACCGAAAAAGTCGATGTTTTGTGGTTTTATGAGTCCAGCTTTATGCCACGATGACTCATAAAAATGTTTTTGTACGTAAATTTTCTTTGAAAAATTAGAAAAAAATGCGATGTTTTAAGATTTTTTAAATCTTTTTCCAATATTTTTTAGAAAAATCAATTATTTTTTTGGAGCGGTGAACTTCCCCTTAATAAAATGTGTCGCACCTTTAGATGTATACTATCTCCTACTTTTGTATAGGAATGATTATATGCTTAATCTTTTTAGCGAGGAATGCTCATCACGGCAATATTTATGGTTACTGGTTCAAAAAAAAAACTTATGCGTTTTTCGTCACAGAATTCCAATGTAAGAGTAATAGCATGTAATAGGGTCTTGACCCTGATGGGAGAATTAAATTTTATCTCCTGTAATTTTAACAGGTTTGTCAACTTTCTTTAATGTCTAACTTAATTACAGAGTCATAACATTGTAAATCCAAGTCATGGTAAGTAATCAAACCATATGATCCCACTTACCACATATCTTATAATTCAGCGTTTTTTTTTTTGATTTTGTTTAACTACCTTCTCTTTTGGGACATACAAACGAGTTTAATTATACTACATGATTTAAATTTGACAAACACATCATGGGTGTAGCAAACTTTAAAGAAAACTTTTGATTTTTCTGAACCCAACTCCCCAGTGGTATATTTTACAAATTTCATGCAGGAGAATGGAGCGCGATGCAATCAGAATCATTAAGATGCGAGAAATTATAGACGATTTTTCGATAGGAGGGGGATTTTTAAGTTAAGCCTCATCGTTTGAAAACAGTCTTGTATATAACTGCATTGTTTCTACCATGGTTAGCATACAAGTACATATGAGAAGTTGTACGTACACAGATACAACAAACAGGTCGCAGGCTTTTTAATATAAAATTTTATGTTACGAATAGTAATTCAATTAATTACAACTCTAAACTTTGTATCGTTGTTTGTTGAAAATTCAATTAATTTCAATTGAACTTTTCACTGTTATATGTGAACACAGATGCATGAAAAATTCAATGCAAATTAATGGATTATTAAATACTTTCACGTAACATTGAACTTGTATTGCTGTATCTTTCAACTATGGCCAAAAAATACCTCGTTGTGCCAAATGAAATTTTGCTAAACTTTTACTCTATAGGGATTAGAATTCATCATTTTGTGTAGAAAGTTGATGGTAAACGCAAAAAAAAATCATGAGCATTACATGTATACCTACACGGATAGAAATCTCCTTATACCTTTTGGCAAATTTCTATTGTTGATTATTCATAAAATGTATAAGTCAACTAATAAGCAGACGCCTTGCAAAAAGTTAATGAAGATCATGTGTCAAATGAAATGTATAAGCGGTCACACATACCTTTTATGTATTCTTATAGGACCTATGTGGTTTGTCTTATGGAATGTATAAGGCTGATATTTTGGCAAAAATGTATAAGTGAAACACATGAATAAAATAATTGATTTTCGTTTCGTGTATATGGAATCAAGATGCTTCATTCTGAAAAAAAGTAGAGTAAGGTGGAGCAAAAGCTAAAATATCTCAAAACTATCAAACTGCACTGGACTTGTAATTCAAGGTGCGAGACTTTCTGCAAAAAAGCTGTGATGAATTTTCAGTTCATTCGTAATTAAAACGATTTTTTTTTTTCGGTAGACTGTTCGATACAGAAATTGGCCAAAAGTTCGCAAACCTAATGGCAGTTTTTGAAAAGTTTGACCACTACAAATCTTAAAATGCCCCATGATGGTGTGAATATCATAAAGAAATAACATGTTTGTTCCCAGATATTTTCGTAGCTTTTGTCACATTCTGCTAAATTTATAATTGTTTAGAGTAAATAAGAGCTTTTCCCAAGTAATACAAATTAATAGAATTATGTTGAGTAAACTGCTTTACAACCAAAACCAGTCATATAAAGGCTATGTAAACGTATAAAACCTTCACAAGAAACTAAGTTTGCCCGAAAAGCTAAAATACATAAATCTAAATCTGTAGATCTTTGATACAAAACAGTAATGGAATATTATATTTCTTAGCTCCCTAATAATTGGAAACCGTAAACGAACGGTAACTCGAACGGTAATCCACAAGTAAAAAAATTGCACATTAGTTGGAGATGCTTAACGTCAAATATCAGACTTAAAGGGGACATTTGATAGGCCTTTTTAATGCACCACCAACGTAGAGTGCGCCACGCGAGTTCGAGAAGAAACGTCAACCAAACTGTTTGTTTACATCAGAATAACTATTTTTTCATTCAATATCTTGCCAATTTCCATCGGTAATTGTCTCTTTGTACGATTTTCCACAGATCTGAACTGATTTGTACCTGAACTATTCACGCACAATAAATCAGGAAGATCATAACCACTAAGGCACTTTTCTAATTTTCCATTTTTCTCAATAAAAATATTCCTGAACGCCAGCAGGATCTTTGCCAAAACGTTACAGAATTGAATTTTTCAACTGTAGATCAAGTTTGGGAGCATCTCTGATAAATTAATTTATCAGGAAAAGTAAAAAAGTGTTCCGTTTCCTGTCCCACGGTAGAAATTTCTGCTCACAACAGTCTTTTTGACGTTTTCCTATTCATCACCATAGGTTGAATCGATCGTTTAGTTTCTATTAAAAAGGCGTATACTATAGATGAGGAGGTGAAAGTATATCAAGAGCAAATTTTCATTATGTCGTAAGTAACATTCGCACCGATCCGAGAAAAATAAAGTTTTGTTTTGATGACCGAAAAGTTATTCCTATTTCCAATTAAACACATATAATCTCATAGTGATAGCAATGTTTAACATATTCAGCCGAGTTTTAATCATACAAAGGCAAATCGCTAGCTTTCATGCTAAGAAATACTGGTTTTTGAGTCAAAAGTTATTGCACGTCGTTTGGTGGCCCCTATTGTTACTTAAGTCAAAGTGTATTTACCAGGATATTCGGGAGAATTATCAATTACGTCTCCTTACGTGCAGCCCATTCATCATTTTAGGACCACCGAAATCATCTTAGCAACAAACAGTTCGATTTATTCACTTTAATAATGAGAAAGCGAAACGACGAAAGTACACTTTTCACGGGTTTCTCAGTGCTATCAACAATCAATACGAAACTATCGATTTGAAATTGGCTCACTACTTGACTAGCCTATTGGTCCCAAGCAAACGATTAACGTATCTAGTACTACGCAATGTTTGTTTTGATTCGCTATGAAAGCTTGACAGATAAAATGAGGGGTTATTGGTTTTTCCTATGTTTCGAGGGGTGAATCGATTAGCTTGGGACCGAAGATAGTACCAGAGCTGAGCCAAAAAGTTGAGCACGTTATTTCGGGAGCTTCTAGTCTTAGAGTTACCTCTATGGTGCTATTACTTAAGGCAAACGGCATCTCCATAGAAATCGGATGACTTAAGTAACATCGAAAACTATTTTGATCGGAAGGTGATTACGTCAAAAAGCAATTCGACTGGTAAATAAATTTAAAAATGGGATGTGATCCTATATTCGGACAGTATATAGTGTAATTGCAGGAGCATCGATTGACACTGATAGCTCGACTTTGTTTACCTTTGTTACATTCGACGTAATGAAAATTTGCTCTTGATATAGTTGATATAGTTCCGTTAGAGTACGGCATTGTGAAAATTGTACATAGAAAGTAGAAAGCGAGCAAAGGACAATTTTGAGAAAGGTACGAATCGGGTTGATCATCCCCTTTAACAAACTCCCCCGTTGAGTAAAAAGTACGCATTTTTAGCGATAAAATTTAATGATTAATTGAAATACGAATTCTTCATGACACATATTCAAAAAATAGAAAACATTGACTAATAATTTTTCAAATAAAATCTATCTATTAAAACGATAATAATCAACCGACATGCATAACTAATAATCTAGTACTTGAGCTATATCTGATATGGTTACCTTTATGGATATATCGCATAAGGTTTGTTATTATGCACTTCTTTTTTTTATGCGGATAACGATTCTCGGGCTCTCGTTAATGTACCAAAGTACCCATTATTTGAAATTCTAAGTCACCCAATCAAATAATACATCTTCATATAGTATCTAGAAATGGGTACTTTTATACTCATTAATGGGTACTCACCAATTACAGTATAGAGTACTCTTTTTTGTTTTTAGCGCAGGAGTCTAATGAGGTGCGTAATCTGCAATATGTAGCGGGCGGAAAATCACTCACGTTGCGATGTTTTTTTTCTTCTAACCCCTTCCTTTTCGCACCGCCGGTGCACATTAATCATAAACAGCTGATGTTGACAAGATAATCAAGAGTAGACAGCCGTAACGTAAACAAACAGTACTACTACTACTACTAGAACAGGTTCTGTCTGCTCCGGGCCCAGCCATCTGACGTAACGGTCGACCGTCATTGCAAACTATTGCACCGGTGTGTTTATTCATTCATCAATAAGGATCTCTCCCGATCGGTCGCTCGTTCAATCACGATGGAGTGTCGTGGACGCGTTGGGTCGTTCAATCATTAAAGTGTTCAACAATAACCAGAGCGCGGCGATTTCCACTATTCTATTCCAACTCCATCATCCCAGTGAAAATTAAAAATGCAAAGATTTATCAGGGTTTTAGTTCAGCGATTCAATCCTGGTCGGTTAGTCTCGAATCGAGGATATTCACTAACGCCAGCAGAATCTCCGAAGAAACCCCATAGCCCGGCCAAACGAATATGGAAACTTTTATTTGGGCGGTATCTACTAGTCACCAACACTATCAGTTCCGGGGTGTTGATGATGCTGGGCGATGTTGTTGCCCAGGAAATTGAGATAAGGCGCGAAGGAAGTCTGCAGCGAGAACTTGATTGGTATCGAATAGGTAGGTACAAGTGTGCGATTGTATTCTATGGAAAGAAGCTGTAATTCAAATTCGTTGCAGGCTGCATGACCCTTGTTGGCCTCTCGCAAGGACCATTACATCACTATTTGTACCTGTGGATGGATCGTTCCCTTCCAGGGACTGCAATCAAAACAGTATTCGCAAAAATTGGTCTCGATCAGTTTGTTATGTCTCCAATATTTATTGTTTCTTACCTGTATAGTGCAGGGTTGCTGGAGGGAAATAGCGTGCAAAAGTGCACAGAAGAGTTGACGGATAAATTCCCAACTATCTACGTTGCAGATTGGATGGTGTGGCCACCAACGCAGTTTATCAACTTCTATTGGTTGAGTCCCAAGTATCGAGTCCTGTACATTAATGGCATTACGATGCTCTACAACATATTTCTATGTTACATCAAGCATAACGACGACCTTCGGATCAAATTCGGGGAAAGTGATAGTGTTGCAAAGTGATTCAGTTTTAGAATGGGTATAAATTTTCTTTTTTGTTGAAATACTCAGCTCAAAGTTGGGTTTGAAAATATTTCATTTATTGCTTCCCTTTTATTGTATTGGCGTTTCCGAAATCTCCTTGTATTGTTACATATTAGTTTGACTTATCGTGGGAATGTCTGGCGTTACGTTTAAGGACAGTGATTTCCTAGAAGTTTAATTTGTTTGCTTCGTTCCGCAACCTACGACTTATGCGTAAAAAAAATCTTACAGACTAGATATGTAAAGATATGATTATCATTATGCGGAAACTTGCAGGGAACCTTAAGAATGACTTACATGGCAAGTAAATTAATGGAATTTGAAAACTTGTACTTCAGAACATCTTGTTACTATGCGGACAGCTGCCTTCTACAATCCAAAATCAGTACAACAGACAACATCAGTGTTACAATGCATCGTTTCGAATAGTCTTTATCACATAAATCATATTTGAGCCGGTACCTCATGTACCTAAAAAATCCTGTGATGTTTCCTCTTTGAAAGCTCACGCATTTTTCTCAGTCGATTAGTTTTGCACCGTACGTCTTCCAGTTTCCAATGGCCGTCATATTCACAAATCCCCATTTCCACTTTTGGTTTGGATTATCGTCACTACAAGAATTCACGAAAACTTCTCGCCGACTTCCATCCATATCCAAACAGCGATTATTCTTGCCTTGCTTCATCATCTGACTATCCACGTCGTACCGCCACAGCTGATTACCTTGCCCTCCATGGCAGTGGTACAGTAAAATCTTCGCATTCGGAACGCTTTCGGAAACATCCCAGCACATTTCTCCAAATTTGATTCGCAAATCTCGGTGCCAAGACAGCTGGAAGTATTGATTTGCTTGCGGTTGAACCTTATCGGCAGCACAGGAAAACAAACCCACAGTCTGTTTCTCACCATGATTCAGCGTATCGATACACAAAGCCGGATTCGATACAGACTGAATGGCGCCATTGGCAAAGTCTGGCGGTTCTATCGGAGGATACTTCTCGATCAAATCAAAGGCCACTTTCTCCATGAACCATTTAAATGGCTTGCACTGCAGTTTTTCCCGAATGGCCAGCTGCTTCGAGAGGTCCCCTGCGTCCGTATTATCGTACTTTTTGCGGTCTCTCACGTACAGATACTCCTTGTACTCATCCATCCAAACTTCCGCTACTCGCTTATAGTTTCGCGACAGGAAGTCCTTCTTTCTAGGATTTCCGAACGGAGCGTAACCACGATAAATGTGACCCACCCGGGAACACGGAGCATCATACATCCGACCACCACATTGCCATATCTTGAAGCTCAACTCGTACTGCTCACCACCCCAGATGTCCAGGCCTTCGTCATAACCGCCAAGTTCCCAGAAAAATTTGGAACTAATGGCAAACAAACCACCCGCCATTACAGGGCTCTCGAATGGTTCCGTTGGATTTTCCAAATCCTTCGGCAGCAGCGGTAATCTTTTGTAGAAAAACTTCCAATCGAATGCACCACGAGCTCCCTCGTCCTGCGCTCGGTACTCGAACGTATCCCAATCGATGACATCGATAAACGGACACACACACGTCCGATAATCCTCAGCAATGGGGTCCAGCAATGGTGGCAACCAATTCACATTTGCTTCCGTGTGTGAATCCAGGAAAATTAGCACATCCGCCGTAGCAACCTTAGCCCCTGCCAATCGGGCCGTGATCAATCCAGATCGCTCCGGCAAATGGATTACCTTCACTTTGGGCATGTTTTCTTCCACGTATCGATCGAGTTGGTCCTTCAAGAACTCTTTTGTACTACAATCATCCACCAAAATGATCTCTGTTATCAATTCCGGGGGTGATCTCAGCAGTACGCTGGATGCGGTTCGCAGCAGTGTACTCCAATGCTCATTATAGAAAGGAACTACCACGCTAACCGTGGGCAACTCACTCAGATACTTCTTCTTCTTGCATCCCTTGTGCCGAATGTCCGGCAGAGATCGATTCAACGAGATCAAATCGCTGAGTACAGCGTTGAAGCCGTTCTTCTTGAACAGTTTATCCTTCATTTCTTCGTCTTTCTTCTCCAAATGACCGGCGATTCCGTGCTCCCCGATTCCGGTTCGCTTCTCTTCGGCTCCCTGCAGCCGATAGTCGTGCCAATCAATCTTCCTCGAATTGGCATTCTTCGGTGGACCGTTGAAGAACGATCCTTGCTTTTTGTGTTGGGTTTGCGGTTCTGCTCCGCCGTGTTCGATCGAGTTCTGCTTGTCCATCACGTTGAACGAGCGGACCAGCAGCGTTAGAAATAGAAGGACAAAGCCACCGCCGATGGCGTACTTTAGTAATACTCTTAGGTTGCGGCGCATCTCTTATCTACTGGCAACGATCTGTGTATGGCTTGGATGTGGGAAGCTCCGGTATAGGCGGAATGCTGAAATGGAAGGAAACGAACGAAAGCATTTGGTTAGAGGCTTATGTTGAGCATCTTTAGAACTCAGCCGTAATATGCATGTTTCCAAATACAGTTCAAGTTACGCAAACAAAATACCATAATAACTTACTACAACAAAAGAACGATATCAGACTTTTCTTCGACTGGACTACGCAAGCAATATCACGGTTATTCCCAAGGATAGGTACCTAGTTACAACTGAGACGAAATTGACGCCACCATCGATCGAAGCATCAGCGTCCAATGTGAAGGCACCATCAAAGCGTGGTCAAGCGTTGCCTCTGTTTTGTAACTTCGGTGAACTACAGTAATGACCCGATTTTTTTTTTTTTTTTTCGGAATCGAGCAATGAGATGGGACCCATGCAAAGGTGATGACAAAAGATCTTAAAGATAAAGCACTTAAAAGCTCTCGTATTTTCATGAGAAAATACGAGGAGTGCTTTACCGGCCTCATGGAGCGAATAGCCTCGACAGAACTGAGACTATCCGTAAAAATAAAATAGTGATCTGGTGGAAGTGAGGCGATCGTTTCTAGCGTATAGTATATTGCCGCCAGCTCAGCAACATATACGGAACAAGGAGCTTGAAGCATTCGAGAGGCGCTATGAAATTCGTTAAAAATACCAAAACCAGCGGACGACTCTATTAGTGATCCATCTGTGAAGAACGATCTTGCGGAATCAACTTGGCCAAACTTTGCAGCGTAAATTGACGGAACAATCATGGAACGATGATGTTCTGGGATCCCACGAATCTCCCGCGTCATGGATAAATCAAAACTAACTGAATTGCCGAAGTCGGAGAAGCATACACGATGAGGATTATGCTGTGAAGGGCTGACATCCTGTGTTATGTACACGTAGTACAATGTCATAAAACGAGTTTGAGGGTTTAGCTCAAGAAGCTTCTCAAAGTTTGCAATCACCAGTGGGTTCATAATTTCACAACGGGTGTCACATCGGTCACATCGTGTGAGTCGAGTGCATGCATCCTAACGCGATACGAAGAAAATGACCCGATTTTGCCAGCTCCTTTTTGAAAATCTTTTCTTATGTTCTACAAAACCCATGCGCCTGTTCCAGTTATTCTGCGAAAATCAGGTTACTTTCAAGTTCTCATTCGGTCATCTAGTAGGGTTTAGATATAATGTATGGCCTACTAAGCTCAACCCCGCACTTTGACTGTTTTTTTTTCGAATGGATTTTTACACAAAATAGAAAATTTATTTATCTTTTCATATCGTTGGATTTGATAAAGTGTCACAAATTTTTTTAAATGCAACACTGCTTCTAGATTCCAAATTCGGCTTACGGGTTTCAATTGCGTATACACACATAGAAACGTCAAAAGCAAAACACTGAAAGACTGAAAACATTAATTCGCTTCTTTTGTGTTTGAGAACAAGGGGTATATATTCATACATTGCGCTCTTGAAGCCTTTGTGTTGTAGCTTTTGAACTGAAGTATTGTACCAAACGTTTAATTGAATCGTTAACGATATATTTCGATATATTTGATATTTTCTGCTCGATAATCCAAAAATAGGTAATTAAACTGAAGTTAATTGTTACCCTAACTCAATAGGATTAAAATTTCTAAATAAAACCAAAATATACGACAAATGATAAAATTGATTAAGGCAATGTTGATTGATTCAAATATGAGTAAAAATAGTGACACATACCTAGCTCTAGTTAGATTGTTATCCTAATTTAGGATAACAATCTAACTAGAGCTAGGTATGTGTCACTATTTTTACTCATATTTGAATCAATCAACATCAGGGCTCTACAATTTCGAAGCTCTAAAATGAACTCGTGTTTTGTTTCTCTCATACATACGTGTTCGACGCTTCATTTCTATAACGCCTAGCTAGACTATCAGCAAGAAACGAAAATAAAAAAGAAGGACGCTTGGAAGGAAAGGCTGACTGTGGAACTTCTCGTCGTTGCTTTGCTCATCGCTTTCAATGTAAATAACGTCGATTTTCTAGTTAAACGAACTTCATTATGGCTTTCAATCCCCTTTCACGAACACTCTATCGCCGCTCTTTCAATTTGTTTAAAATGCGTTATGTCCCGTTTTCGATCATTTTTTTTAGATAAATATATGGATGGAAGATAAATTAGAAATATGACGTGTAATCTTCAAGTGTTTTGACGTGAGAAATGCTTTAAATGTGTTATTTCATTTTCCGTCATATACGTCATGAAACCTCTGTTGATGTGTTTCATGAAAGAGAAAACTATCAAAGTCGAGCGCTCTTTCGCTCATCCATTTCGACGAAGCTTGAAAGGAAGACCAATGGAGCGACGGGAGAAAGAGAGACAAGCGATTGAATATTTGTTTGTGCACGCCGACTGAGGTTCTAGAATGCTGCGAAGCTGTTCGACTTTAACAGAAAAAGAAAGCCAGCAGTCTCTTCGTCGCATCGATTTGGTCGATTGAAGCTGATATTGTGACGCCCTGACCTAATACATGTTAACTTTAAATAGACTTTGTTGCCTAGAAAAAAGTTATAACATCCTTCCTATTTATAGTTGAAATCTAGTGCAAAATACAGAATGATATAATTTCTGACAAACTAATACATATTATTTCAAGACATAAGATGCATTAAAAATTGACAAATGGAGTATGTGTTGCATGACAAAGATTTATGTTTGACCATGTTTTGGGCAAAAGGTCAAAAATTAGTGATAGGTCGAAAATAAGTACATTTACCGTACATACTGAAGAACAACAAAGCAACTGGTGTAGATCAACTACGGGGCTGTTCATAAACTACGTAGACAAATTTTTGGGATTCTTGACCCCCCCCTCCCCCTGCGTAGACAATTTTCCATACAAAAATTTTAAAATTTGTATGGGCCGTGGATAATTGTCAACACCACCCCCCCCCCCTTAAACTGTCTACGTAGTTTATGAACAGCCCCTACCAAGTGAGCTATTAAAATACGGTGGTGAAACTCTGGCTAGAGCGCTGCACTGGGTAATTGCCAAGATTTGGGTGGAGGAGATATTACCGGAGGAGTGGATGGAAGGTGTCGTATGCCCAATCTACAAAAAAGGCGACAAGTTGGATTGCTGCAACTACCGCGCGATCACACTGTTGAGCGCCGCCTACAAGGCTCTCTCCCAAATTCTATGCCGCCGCCTGTCACCTATTTGCAAGAGAGTTCGTGGGGCAATACCACGCGGGATTCATGGGTGCCCGCGCTACCACGGACCAAATTTTCGCGATTCGGCAGGTTCTGCAGAAATGCCGCGAATGCAACGTGCCCACACATCATTTGTTCATCGATTTCAAATCCGCATACGACACAATCGATCGAGATCAGCTATGGCAGATTATGCACGAGTACGGATTTCCGGATAAACTGACGCGATTGGGTCAAGGCGACGATGGATCGAGTGATGTCCGTTGTTCGAGTTTCGGAGACACTCTCGAGTCCGTTTGAATCCCGAAGGGGGTTACGGCAAGGTGATGGACTTTCGTGTCTGCTATTCAACATCGCGTTAGAAGGTGTGATCAGAAGAGCTGGGATAGACACGAGTGGCACGATCTTCAGGAAGTCCATCCAGCTTCTTGGCTTCGCCGATGACATTGACATCATGGCACGGAACTTTGAGACGATGGCGGAAAAGTAGATCAGAAGGCTGAAGCTAGGCGGATTGAACTTGCTATCAATGCATCAAAGACAAAATACATGAAAGGAAGAAGTTCTAGGGAAGACAATGTTAGCCTCCCACCCCGAGTTCAGATTGACGGTGACGAAATCGAGGTGGTCGATGAGTTCGTGTATATTTGGACTCACTGGTGACCGCCGAAAATGATATCAGAAGAAAAATTCAAAGACGCATTATGACAAGGAATCGTGCCTACTTTGGACTCCGGACGACGTCCCGGTCGAATAAAATTCGCCGCCGCACGAAGTTGACTGTCTACAAGACGCTGATTAAACCGGTGGTTCTCTACGGCCACGAGACCTGGACTATGCTCGTGGTGTTTTCGAACGGAAGGTGTTGCGTACCATCTACGGTGGAGTGCAGATGGATGACGGAACATGGAGGAAGTGAATGAACCACGAATTGCACCAGCTGCTGGGAGAACCATCCATCGTCCACACTGCAAAAATTAGGCAACTACGGTGGGCTGGGCACGTCGTAAGAATGCCGCACGACGACCCAGTGAAAATGGTTCTAGAAAGTAACCCAACAGGAACAAGAAGAAGAGGCACGCAGCGGGCAAGTTGGATCGACCAAGTAGAAAGCGACCTGCGGACCCTTCGCAGACTACGAGGCTGGCGAAGTGTGGCCATGGATCGAGTAGAGTGGAGACGACTTCTTCGGACAGCAGAGGACAACAAGGCCTTAGCCTGATTGGTAAGGTAAGTACCCTACATACATTTTCGTTTATCGTCTCGGAAATTTGTCCACTAAATGACTAATCCTAAAAGGCAGAACACACTGTGGTCCCTGGGAGCTGTAGCGGACAATCACGGTTACAAATTATCAACCCATAGTTGAACAAGTTTGTTTCCATATAAAAAAAATCTGTGTTAGCGGCAGGGCTCTACATTTTCGTTACATCGTGTTCAACGAATCATTTCTATAACGCCTAGCTAGACTATCGGCACGAAACGAAAATGAAAAGAAACTTAGAACGAAAGGCTGGCTATGGATTTTCTCGTCGTTGCTTTGCTCATCGCTCTCAATGAAAGTAACGGCGATTATCGAGTTATGAAACGAAACTCCATTATGGCTTTCAGTCCTTTTCATCAACGCTCTATCACCATAGAGGTAACTCTAAGACTAGAAGGTCCCGAAATAACGTGCTCAACTTTTTGGCTCAGCTCTGGTACTCTCTTCGGTCCCAAGCTAATCGATTCACCCCTCGAAACATAAGAAATGACCAATAACCCCTCATTTTATCTGTCAAACTTTCATAGCGAATAAAAACAAACATTGCGTAGTACTAGAATTTCGACTAGAACGGGATACGTTGATCGTTTGCTTGGGACCAATAGGCTAGTCAAGTAGTGAGCCAATTTAAAATCGTTAGTTTCGTATTGATTGTTGCTATCACCGCTCTTTCAATTAATTTGTTTGATATACGTTATGTCCCGTTTTCGTTACTTTTTTTATATTTAAATATGTGGATGGAAGATAAATAAAACATATGCAATCTACAAGTGTTTTCACATGAGAAATGCTTAAAATATATATTTTCCTTTTCGGTCATACTCGTCATGAAACCTCTGTTGATTATAGTCGCTATATTCATAGTATGGCAGATAGAATCTCGGGAACCAATGAGCTGTCAAATAGCGGAACCAATCGACCAAATCACGGCCAACAACAGAAAAGAGCACATCAGCTATTACGAACAAAACTTCGGAAACCCTTTTCTCGTGACTCAAGGCTCGCCTACGCTAACTGACACCATCTATGGGTTGGAGAAAGTTTCCCCTATCCGATGATGCCGGTAATTTGCGTTCGATTTGCGAGGAAAGAATTATCTACGTTTTGTTTATAAAACTTGATAGTACCTTTTCAATTGTTGGTCTAAAATATATTGAATTGGTTCCGCTTTTTGATAGATCGAAATGCTATCCGCCAGACTATGAATATACGAATATACTATAATGAGAGAGAGAAGGATTAGTATTTTCCATTTAATTCCACTACTTTATTTGCTTATCCTTGACAGATACGCGTATTTCGTCTACAATGTGCAGACTTCTTCAGTGTCTTGTACTAATACAGTATACAGTCGAGTATTAGTACAAGACACTGAAGAAGTCTGCACATTGTAGACGAAATACGCGTATCTGTCAAGGATAAGCAAATAAAGTAGTGGGATTAAATGGAAAATACTAATCCTTCTCTCTCTCATTATACAGGTATTCCACTAAGACGCCCACATTCATCAGGATACGAATATACTGTTGATGTGTTTCATGAAAGACGAAACTATCAAATTCAAGCGCTCTTTCACTCGTCTGCTTCACCGAAGCCTGAAAGGAAGACCAATGAAGCGACGAAAGAAAGAGAGACAAGTGATTGAACATTTGTTGGCAGACGCCGACTGAAGTTCTAGAATGCTACGAAGCTGTTCGACTTCAACAGAAAAAGAAAGCTAGCAGTCTCTTCAAAGCATCGATTTTGTCGATTGAAGCTTATATCATAGAGGTAACTCTAAGACCACTGGGTCCCGAAGAAAATCATTATTATTTTTGGCTCACTCAGTACCAGAACAACGGTCCCAAGCAGTCCCAAGCTATTTCACTCACCCCTGCATGTTCTGCATGAATCCACACACCCCTGATGTTATCTGTCAAACTTTCATAGCGAATCAAAACAAACATAGTGTAGTAATAGAATTTCAACTAGAATAGGGTACGTTAATCGTTTGCTTGGGACCAATAGGCTACTAAAGTGGTGAGCCAATTTTAAATCGTTAGTTTCGTATTGATTGTTGCTTATATTGTGATGCTATGGTTGACAGTATTTAAAAAATAGTTTGAAAAAAAACAGGAACACTGAACCTAATGATTACTAAGATCACGTCTGTAACTATTAGGCTGGCTGCAAGACCATTTCAATTGAATTTCATCTTGCACATTAGACAATTTCTCATTTACATAGCACATTAGACAAAAAGTATTTCAAATTATATGCCCCTATAAATTAATTTTTCAATAATTTTTGCAGTGGGGATCTAAACAGGGGTATCACAAGTGTAACACTATTTTCTCCAATTTGGCAAAAATGGCCTACTAACCATTTCTTCATTTCAATGTTTCTCTCATTGCGACTCACTTTTAGAATTCTATAAGCTCGTAACCTACTATGAATGTTGTTTGTGCAACGTCATCTACATGTTCAACTACCCTACCCACTGTACCTGCTATAGAAACAAATACAAATAAACAATAATTATATCAGTAGTTCATATGCCTCCGACATGGCAGGACTGCTAAGCACATCGGTGTGTTTTATTTTCTAATTCGTCTCCGTACTTATCCGTATCACAACACAACGTAGAGATCCCACCCGTGCGCGATCAAATGTTTTTGCATGATTCTTAATTCCGTACCTTTGGTGCAACCTTGCTTTTTTGTAAACCATCTATACAATGGTAAAAGAATGTTGAGATTAAATTTAAATCGTGTTTTTTGGTCATTACATCAAATTTCGGGTGGTAAAAAATTGTACACAAGCATGACGAACTGGACGAACATGATTTTTTTTTAGAATCTCGTAGTTTGAGATGATTTAAAAAATATGGTACAGTAGGGTCCGATTTTGGCAACACGTCTTCAATGTTTTAAATCTATATATATAAAAATGAATTTTCTGTCTGTCTGTCTGACCCTTATAGAATCGGAAACTACTGAACCGATCGGCGTGAAAATTGATATGCAGGGCTTTTTGGGCCGGGAAAGGTTCTTATGATGGTTCGATACCCCTCCCTCTCTGTAACTGGGGGTTCCTACACAAATGAAACAGAAATTTCTGCATAACTCGAGAACTAATCAAGCAAATGGAACCAAATTTGGCATGTGGAGGTATAAGGAGATGTTCATAGGGGGTAGTCCCTTAGATAAGAGGAGGGGGGGGGGGGCTACGGACAATATAGCATGCATTTTTTTTATCGGCGCATACACTTAAGCTTATATTGAATGCCGAGCAAGGTCGGGCACTCAGCTAGTAGCTTATAAACAATACACAAAAACCTCAAACCCTATGTAATATTATTACTATGCTTCCCGAATAACTATCAAGCTTTGGACATGATCTGACCACAGACAAACAGACATAACACATTGAATATTTCTCTATGTAAAACATCGTCGCTAAAACATTACCGCCATCTGTTGAGTACACTGTGGTGGGTAGTACGCTGAACAGATGGCGGTAGTGTGTAAACGTCAAACGCAAGGGAATTGACTATGCGCGCCACAGGTGGCGGTACTACCAACTATGATACTTTTGAATTGACCGTTAAATGCTTGTACGATGAACAACTTGCGAGAGTTATGTCTGTTTGTCTGTGATCTGACTATCTGACGGTTTGCAATTATTAAAAATTATGGAACACTTTTAAGTCAAAATTTGTGCTTTGCTGAAATCGCACCCTGACGGTATTTTGAGGTCCAGAACATGGAAAGTTCTGTAATATTTCAAACATTGAAAAATTTCTAAAGTATTCGATTAAGATTTGTGATTTCAAGATTGAGGCTCAACAGTCTTATAATGTACCAAACAAACTTCAATTCGTTTGCTTCGACGTCGCCCCTGGACCGAAGCGTCCAACCGAGAGAATTGAACTTCAAGACTGCTGAGCAATAATCCGAAAATCGCAAACACATAATTCTTATACTTATCAAGGAAAACAAATCTGACAAATTTTCAAGATTTTCAAAAATTAAAAAAAAAGATAAGTTTTCGGATTATTAAATTTCCAAGATTCTAGAAATTAAAAATAATAACGAAATCTTTGGCAAAGCAAAAAAAATCTACGACTATGAGCACGTTACAAAATCTAGGACTTACATACATCTGCATTTTCTGTAAGTGTCATACGATTGTGTATACATTTTGCCATAAAAATATTGCGAATCAAATTGTTTATGCAAAATGTTTAAGTAGACAATTAAATGACGCTTAAAGAAACATAAAACACTGCTAATTCATTTTTGCTAACTGATTTTAGCTTGAAGCGGTCTTAACCCCACTGTTTTAGATCATATCACGGTAATTTGAAATCCTATATTTCAGATTTCAAATCGCTAAGATTTTTGTGAATGTTACTTGAGAGAAACTTGAATCGACTTTTTGCTGTAGAAATGCAGACAATGTCTGAGATCTCCATGAATATTTCAATCCATGCTATTGTATTCACAAATGAAAATGGTCTAAAACGGACAATTTGAAAAATCCATGACGCACGACCTTAACGCTTCTGCTGAAACAACAAAACTTTATCTATCGTTATACCTCGTGGTTAGCTCGAACAAGCTAACAATCGTTCTTTCATTGGAAATATTTCAAAACAAACAAAACACATCACACCTTCTAAAAAGATTATCATTGTGATAGGAATACTCCACTTGTATGGCACTGCATCATTCATATTTACCTATGTGTTTCTTGCTTAATTCCAACGGGGCCCAAAATGAGCTGGCACACTGTTACAGAAGCTAGCTTGTTGAAAGATCTTAATACTGATGTGATGACGAAAACATGTCCTTCGTTCTTGGTGTTCTTACGAAGCCTTCGTTCCCGGGTGCTGGTGGTTGTGCTACGGACTGCTATGCTCTGCACTCGTCTTATTATACTTTCACTTCAATGGTGCTTTTGCCGTTAGTCGACCTCTTGTGGATTGCAAAAACAAAAACAAGAAACACACTGTCCCTGTCGTAGCAGGCAACCACCAGGTCTATCGCACACGGTTCACGCTCTATAAATGCAGTGATAAAAATTCAGCAATTTGCCCATTAATTTATGCTTTATCGCCAGTCCGTACGATGGAAGCAAAGTGCGTCCCGCACAACGAGATAAACCGTCTGCGTTGATCAAATGGATAATATATGCTAGGTACTTACCTAATTTAGGGCAATTGAAATTTGACCAAAACAAAACGCCCAAACTCTCGAGCTAAATATCGCAGCTGCAACATGTGAACTGTGGGACTTGGCTAGATCCACAGCTTAGAATGTCTACGTCCCACTTACAGACGATCTTTCGCAATCTCCAGCAGAAGCTACAGCTGGCTTAGTGCTTGCCTAGTTGATTTGGTTTGCAGTGTCATCAAATTCTGACTGTCAACCTGGGCAAAAGATTACTGCACAGACACTTCGCTCACACCACTATCTGCTATGGGGTTTTAACTTGCTTCACCACCTATCCCGCACTCAGTTATGATGATGGGACTTCCTTTCATTCAACGATATTAACGCCGCACTGACAGCATCCTCACTAATACGCGCTCAAAAGATGAATACCACCACTGAAGGAATGCTATCTCACTTCCACGCACGATACCGGCTCCTATTCGGTAGAACTTTTGAAACCTGGGCCTTAAAACAGTGCATATTTATAATTATCATATGAATATTATACCAGCTAACTCTAGCTAACTTTTAATCTCGTTATCAATTAAAAATCACACTGCCTATCGTAGGATGAATCTGTAATAGACTATCGCACTAACGAAACAACACACCGTCTGGCTGAAACGTAAATATAAACAAGAATCTGTTCGACACACTGGATCCATGGCAATCACCAAGCTCACCACTACTAACGCAGATTAACCTGTTCGCCTATTCGTATAGATACGACATGTACCGTTCGTTTTGCAAGAGGCGCAGTATTGTAACTCAGATGTGTGGGTGTGTTAAATTTTATTAATAACACAGTAGCATAACGCCGAGTAACGCATACAAAACACGCAACATGAACGGCGACTAATGAAAACAAACATTACAACGGTGCGCGAAATACCGGAACCTTAAGCAATAATTAACTCATAAACAATACTCTTCTCGTAAGGATATTTTCTTTGCATTCTATTTAAAATTACCATTCCAAGCTGAATTGCACACCCTACGCTTTATTCTTCACCATCTTCCGTATCAGAGCCCGTACCGACTTTTCCCGTTTTATTGCATTCTCGATGCACTTGTCCAGCAGTTCCTGCTCCAGTGGGTCGCCGCCACTTTTGTTGATGTAGCTCAATGCCGCATCGCAAATCGTAATCGTTATGGTAGATGTGGCGAGCGATTCCTCCTCTGCCGTTGGGTCGGCAATGATCCGCCCACAGAACACCGCAAACGACGTCGTCACCGGAATCGAGCTAAGCTTGAGTGGAATCCGTTCACCGTCTTCGTACACTTCGCGTTCGTCAGTATCCGGATTATGTTTGACCTGTGGCAATCGGAGCGTATGCAAAGCAGCTACCAAAGCTATCACCGAAGCATCAAACACGCACCCGTCGTGATCCAAACATATCAAATCGCAATACAGTGCCCAGACGAGCTGCTCCTTTGTAATACAAAGATCCTTCAGGTTAACGCATCCCGAATTCAGAATAGAATCGGCCAACGAGCAACTGTAAACTTGAGCCTCTTCGCTTGGTGGACCGGGGCGATATTTTGGTGAAGACAGTGGAGATATTTCGATGTTCGGGATCAGATAACCCGTTTCCGGTTCGACCGGTTTCGGAGGAGCCAGTTCTGCCTTGATTCCACACACTACCGTAGTGTTTCCAATTTTCACAATGGCAGATCCATCGGCCGTTTTTATTGAACCAAAGTTGATTGCCAGCGGACGGAGATCACCAATCTCGCGCCCATCCGGTCTGATGTTATGCTCGAGGTAATCCTTGTAATATTTTACCGGATGAATTTTCCTGTCAATAGAGCCATTTTTATAAAACTATCATCCCATACACTTTACAACGAACTTACTTGTACGTTTTCAGGTCCATTTAGAATTTGGGAACGTAAAAAACTAAATGAAATTAGTTGAGCAATAAAACAACATGTGAGACGTCCTGCTTTTGTTTATATTTTGATTACAAACTTTCAGGTTATGTTGCGATTGTCAAAGATTGTGTACTAAAAATTCAAAATTATCGGCATCGGACTCCTGCACGGATGATGAAACCAACTCAAAAGTGAATTGAATTCGACTCAATTTTGCCAAAAGTGGATTTGCTCACAAAGTGCACGGCCACTGAAACGAACTCATAAATGAAACACATGAACAGTGTTCTGAAAAATTCAAAAACTCAAATCTCAGGCGTGAGTTTATTCGTCTATTAGTTTTCAGGTTGCTCTATATGTTGGCTTTATTCATTGTTATTTTTGCATCAGTGGGTGGAAAACTAACACAACATGTATGGGCACGCCTTCAATACGCCTTTTTAATAGAAACTGAACGATCGATTCAACCTCTGGCTGGTGAGAATAGGAGAACATCAAAAAGAGTGTTGTGCAGACAATTTTTGCCGTGAGACTTAGTAAGTAGAACACTTTTTCTATTTTCATGACAAGTTGATTAATCTGTGATCAAAACTTTATCTACAGTTAGAAAATTTAATTCTGTATCGTTTTCGCTAAGATCCTACCTTGGATACTGCTGGTGTTCTGGAATATATTTTAAGCTGAACATTGCATTAGGTCCTAAGTAACATTGACAGATTCTTTTCGTCGACTTTCTCTTAGTATCCTCACAGCCATTTTAAGATATTCTCAGGTATTTTCAGCACACAGATCGATAATAGAAGATTTTATCTAGCATCTAATACGACAAACACAACAAGAATCGGTTATGTGCTTAAATTATTAACGAAAGAGAAAGTCGACGAAGAGAATCGATCAACGTTACTTAGGACCTATTGCAATTTTCAGCTTGATTTGTTAAGAAAAATTAAAAATTAGAATAGTGCCATGGTGATTATTATCTTCCGGATTTCTTGTGTGTGATAAGATGAGGTGCAAATCAATTCAGATCTGTGGAAAATCGTAAAACAAAGCAATTATTGATGGAAATTCACAAGAAATTCGATAAAAATCCTTTAATTTGCGTTGAGATCATCCATATTCTGATGTAAGCAACGAGGGGGGCGACACATCTTAATCTCAATTCTAGATGCTCAAAAAATCTCACACTAGCAAATAAATCTAGCAAACGGTTTGGTTGACGTTTCTCCTCGAACTCGCCAGCGTGCCTGCCTACGTTGGTGGTGCATTGAAAAAACCTATTGATGCTTGAGCGATTTTATCGAACAAATTTGATCTCCTTAAAACAAATTCTATAGTTTTTTTTTATTGTTCAAATTTTTTAATTAAATTTCGATGAACTGTTTGATCGACGTTAAAGAATTGAATGTGCATTGAATTGAAACAGTGTAAAGTGTGTCATGTTATTTTCACAGCATTCAATTTCGTATGTTTAGAAAGGCTTAACGCTTTCGCTAAAAATGCATTCAAGCCCTGATTTCAGCGTGAAATGAAAATAATTTCAAGTTTATTTATAATATTCCATTCGAATGCCCCTCACCAATTGCGTGGAGGCAAACCAGCCTCAGGCTGAAAGTCTTCTTAATAAAGATAAATCAATCAATCAACCCCTCACCAATTTTGACAACGAAATGTCAAACTAAATGTGTAGTCTATTTTTTACGTATGACTGATTTTTAACTGGGCTACAGTCCAGTAAATGAACGCCCAGTTAAAAGCCCAATTAAATAACACACAGTTAGCGAACAAGTACTGTACAATACAATTACAATAGGGTTAATTATGAACAATAGAATGCATAGCAATTTAATCTTATTAATTTTATTATTTAATAATAAATTTTCGTTTCATGTATACGTACACTAATAGAAATCCACACATTTTTATTGACAAATTTCCATGTAAAATTACACATGATTTTCATGTGACCACACATAAACAGAATCCACCCAGAAGCACACATGACATTTATGAGTCAAATGAATAGTATGTGTGGTTACACATGGCGTTTATGTGTGCACATATTAAGTATGTGTTCAACACAAAGATATCATATGTTGATCACATTGCAAAAATTGATGTGTGGGACACATAAAAATAATCTTTGAAATTTTATCAGTGTATACGTTTTTGCGATTTTGTATGAAAACCCACTCAATTTTGAGTTCATCTCATCGGCCGTGCAATGATCACCATTGTACTAAAATCCAGCCGTTTTAGTACCTACCGTTCGGTTTAGCGGGCGCTTTCCAGTGCAGCTGTTGGGCTCTATTCGGAATCCCTCCATTTGAAGTGAAATTCTTGCAGCAAAAGGAAGCATCAATCGGGGCCCGTGGATTTTCGGCCGCATCCGTTTATTTTAGATTGATTTCCTGTTTCGTTAGTGTCCTTCACCTTCGGCCCGGTAGCCTTATTCGCGATGTGGATTTAACATCGATGGAATTTCGCAACAGAATTGTGCATCGGCTTGATCGAAAGGATCTTCTCGGAGCAAAAAAAAAAAAGAAGTAAGTAGCCAAAAGTGAAGCGAACGCGGGAGAGAGACAAAGCACTGAAGTGAGGAGATTCCGAATCAGAGTGAGATACAAAACGGATAAAAAGTCAACTGTAGCAAGAAGTGCTGCGCAGCGAAAAATAACAAAAGTTCACTACTTCACCGCTTTTGGAAGAGCAGGCTGAGGAGACGGAAAACAATAGCGCTGTAACAATCAACTACTGTGACGCAAACAATATACGTCAACAGAATGGCGACATTCAGGATCCACGAGGATTTGGAGAAAGAGAACCGTGTTCTTGCGGCCAAAAGCGCAGCAATTGTCGTTGGAAGTAAACAGCAACCGCAACAACAGCAGCAGCAGTTCCAGCAACGGTCTACATTGGGCGTTTTGATTCCCCTGACCAATACCGGACGATCCGAAGTGCAAATTGCTGGAGAAAAAGCGGTAAGTGACTTTAGTTGGCTTCGGCATATTTTTCGAAATTACTAATTATATCGTTTTGATAGGTCTTGAAGGATCCTAAATTGAAGATTAAGCCTACCGCGGTCATCAAACCCAAAGCAGACGAAAAAAGTACCGTAACGGTCGTTCAAGCTAAGGCCGTACCAAAACAACCGAGCGAACCATACAAAACTTTCCAAGTATATGATGAATCGAAGGAAAACGAATCGGCTGTTCCGAAAAAGGATGATTCTCTGCATGAAGCGAAGCGAGAACCCCTCCAGGAGCTGAAGAATGCCGAACTACTAACGCCCATGTCGGTGGGTGATAGCTTCTCGCCCATGTCCGTGGACAAGTCGGTCATCCAGGTGGAGGACACTTCCCTTGTACCCCGGAACGATCGTGAACGCTTCTTCGAAGTAGAAGAATACCAGCTCGATATCCTGGCATATCTCAAAGAGGCCGAAAAGCGTCACCGTCCGAAACCGGCTTACATGAAGAAACAACCGGATATCAACCACTCGATGCGCACCATTCTGGTGGATTGGCTCGTGGAGGTTTGCGAAGAGTATCGCTTGCAAAGCGAAACTCTCTGTCTGGCAATTTCCTACATTGATCGATTCCTCAGCTTCATGTCAGTAGTTCGCGCAAAGCTGCAACTGGTTGGCACTGCTGCCATGTTCATTGCTGCGTAAGTATGATTTTTTTTACCTGCTGGACCACTGCATCATACTTTGTTTTGCCATCATAGGAAATACGAGGAAATCTACCCGCCAGACGTGGGTGAGTTTGTGTACATCACTGACGATACCTACACCAAGACGCAAGTGCTTCGTATGGAGCAGCTAATCCTGAAGGTGCTCGGATTTGACCTATCCGTACCAACCACTTTGGTATTTACTACCGTCTACTGCGTTATGAACGACGTGCCGGATAAGGTGAAAAACATGTGCATGGTAAGTATCCTCGATGGGTGGATTATAATGGGAATTGCAGATTATGATGAGCTTCTGGAATTTCAGTACCTTTGTGAATTGTCACTGCTGGACGCGGATCCATTCCTTACGTATTTACCGTCGAAGATTTCGGCCGGTGCTTTGGCTCTCTCCCGCTACACGCTCGATCTGCCCATCTGGTCACGGATGCTGGAGACGAACACCGACTACCAGCTAGAGGATCTTAAAGATATCATTCTGGACTTGAACAAAGTGCACCAGAAGGTGGAATCGCTGGGACAGCAGGCCATTCAGGAGAAGTTCAAGGGAAGCAAGTGAGTTCCCACCAATGAATGATTTCTGTGAAAGGTTAAAACATGTTCATTTTCATCTCTATTTCTCAGATACATGCAGGTGGCAACGATTCCAGCCACCGAACTGTCCGAGGAAACATTCGACAACATGTGCAAATCGTTCGCAGCGATATCGTCTGCGGCTGCCGAAGCAGAAGCCAGCACGATTTCCACCACCACTGTGACTGGTTCCGCCCTGAATCAGAAAGACTCGATGCGGGAAATGATGTCATCGTTGTTGTTTGTCTAGAGAGACCCCCATGTCAATTGCCTCCTGGTCCTCGTCCTTGTCCTTGCCGAATATCCCCACTCCCCGCACAACCCGCAGCAACATGTTTCTTTTTTGTTTTGTATAGGTTTATTGCCTGATTATCTTTTAGACTGCGTCCTAGCCTGAGTAACTTTTTTATTTTGTTTTAAAATCCACATTCTGCACGACAAACATGTTCAACAATGACGATTTGCACCTTCAACAACCAGTTTGACGAAGTAATCAATACCTTTTATGATAAAGAATCCTCCCGCACCGCGCTATGTCATCGTCGGAATACGAAAGCATGGCAGAGGAACGATGATTGTATTTAATTAGCTAGTATTTGTGTATACAATGGATAACGTGTTCTATTTGTAGTTTTTGAAATGTTAACACTACTACTTAAGTCAACTATTCGAAAGTAGGATTACAAAAATTTTGAGAGAAGTACGATTTTGCAACCGAAACTTCCAACGCATAATGCACACCAGTAAAAACAAAAAATCTATTCCTTACTCGTGGAATTTTTATAAAGTAAATAAATTAGTCAAAATGCAACTTTCCAAATTTTACTCTCAGTCCGGACGAAATTGCCGGTCAACACTCACTGGATGATTCTTACCGCATCAGCACCTGCAACGAACCTGTTTAGTTGAATAAGAGTTAGTTTGTCGATTTCCAACGAAAGTTCAAAATATACGACGAATAAACGATACATAGGGGAAGGAGGGGCATAGTCTACAGGTGGGCCTATTGAGCATCCTCTACTTTAGCATTATATTTCTAATTGTTCAAAACAAATTAATTGGTAGCAAGTTCAATATCAATATGATATCAATTAATTTGTTTTGAACAATTAGAAATTTAAGACTAAAGTACAGGATGCTCATGCCCCTCCTACCCCTACTAGCATAAAATTACGCTTAGATGAGTTAGAAGTGATTGAGGAAAAAAAGCTAACTAATACAATGGCATATGAGTTAGGGTATGATTTTTTGAGAAACTATGATAATTTATTATTCTAAGGCCATGCGCATTTTTAAGAATCTTTTTCTACCGGAACAAGCAAAACAATAAAAGACACTTTTTTTAGGAAAATCAAACACTCGTCAATCAATGTGGGAAAGAAAACTACCTCCGTTCAAGTGATTTCAATATATAAACCCTATTTTTATTTTTTTAAGTTCAACAGAAATACATACAGAATCAATCGGCAGAATAGTTAGTTCTTTCGGTATTTACGTTTTATCTTTTCTCCACTCTTATTTGCTTGTTGCTTTTTTATCGGTATAGGTTTATAATTTATCATAGTTTAAGATTTGAATATCGCTTTCTTTACGTCTCTTACTCTCTTGGTATTAGTTTGTTATCTCTCTTTGTCTACTAGTGAAGTGTTTGTTTCGTTATTTCTTAGTCACAATGTTTATTTTCTTGATATTCTATCCTAAACCACAATTGAAACGTTTCTCTCTACCACTTCAGCATTACATGCATTGTTTACATTGCGATTTACCTGTCTGGCGACCTTCATATTCCAAAAAACGGACAAACAGTGTTGTCTGTAGCTCTTTATCTTTCTGTATAAACTTCTGTTAATCATCTTCTAAGATTTTATCTTATATACGTGTAGGTATCTACTTCTTTCTTTTCTCGCAAGTCTATTAGATTTCGTCATCATTTTTCAATGCCTGTGTTTGTGTTTAGTTTTAGTAGATTTACAACATTTTTGCGGGTTTTCTTCTTATATGTACCAACCTTAAAAGCTTTGATCACGTTTATTTTCGCTACTTGCTGAGCAGACTATAGATTACTCGTACAGAATCGCTCATCATAGGCTGAGAACTGTTTTGGCCATGGCTTGTTTCCAGCTGATATATCCGCAAATTCCTATGTACCTATTGTTATCTAAAATTGTTAAGCATCACCAAACCACAGGCCACAGTAAGAAAACATTTTCGCGAAAAGGGACATTTGCTACTTCTGGAACGTTACTAACTTTTTTAAATCAGACCAAAAAAACATTACAATTTTTTAGCTAAATCTATAGATTGATAATTGAAGTTATTATCTAACGCCCGGAACGTCGAATAAAATATTTTTTTTTGCAGCTGAATTATTTAAGGGAGAGAAAGTCGATGAAGAGAGTCGATAAAAGCAGATAGGAATTTTTGAATAATGTTCATATAGAAATAATACAAATGTTAGCTTAATAAGACTTTTAGGCTATGCTGCATTCAATCTCTAACATTTTATAGATTCCAAAAAAATGTCCTCACTCTAAACATCAAAAATTGGAATCGAGTTCCAGCAAAATGGATTGCTAAACTCTGGAAGCCCTTTATAGGTACTGAAAAAAATAGCAATCCGAAAATTTTTGCTGGATGCTAAACTGCCCGCATGGGTTTTATAACATCATCCCGAATTGGGGACGGACCTCGAATGATTTAAAATGTGTTGAAGTTATGAGATGGATAATAACTAGGTAGCTCATGACTTTTCATACACATTTTCTGACAGTTGGTGAAAGGTCATTTGGATTCAAGCTGCTGCACGGGTAAGTTGAACATTTATTAGCTGCGTCATGGGTGATTTGTCCATAATTAATATCGGCGGATTTTCATAGAAGTGATCATAAAAAAGCCAGAATAACACTTGCCCGAATTCGACTAGCCTGAGTATAATAATCGCCGATTATCGTTCTTTCAATCATGAGCAGTTCTTTATCCTGGACTTCGATAAACTTCTGCAAATCAGGCTTCAATATTGCTTGAAAATCATAATTCAATAAATTTTGGAAACCCTTCTTTCTTTAAAACAGGGACCGTTCTTGCGAGAACTTTAGATAATAAAGGGTGATACGGTCAAAATTTGGTCAATATCAACTTGACGTATTTCTTTCAATTTTGCATTTAAAAAACCTGAACACCCCTCATTTTGAAGGTGTGTGTGTGTAGAATGTTGCTCCTATTTTGATTTTGGAATTCACTCTTCAGTTGTCAAAATGCCGTCCAAGCAAGAAGAGCAGCGTATCAAAATTTTGCTCGCGCATCGCGAAAATCCGAGCTACTCGCACGCAAAGTTGGCAAAATCGCTAAAAGTTGCCAAATCAACCGTTACAAATGTAATTAAAGTGTTTGGGGAACGTTTGTCGACAGCCAGGAAGTCTGGATCGGGGAGAAATCGAAAACCGGAAGCCGCTGAGACGACAAAGAGAGTTGCCGGTAGTTTCAAGCGAAACCCTAACCTCTCTCTCCGAGATGCCGCAAATAAGCTGGGTGTATCGTCTACAACCGTGCATCGAGCCAAAAAACGAGCCGGACTATCGACTTACAAGAAGGTAGTGACTCCAAATCGCGATGATAAACAAAATACGACGGCCAAAGCGCGATCCCGGAGGCTGTACACGACGATGCTGACGAAGTTTGACTGCGTGGTAATGGACGACGAAACCTACGTCAAAGCCGACTACAAGCAGCTTCCGGGACAGGAGTTTTATACGGCAAAAGGAAGGGGAAAGGTAGCAGATGTTTTCAAGCACATGAAACTGTCAAAGTTCGCAAAGAAATATCTGGTTTGGCAAGCCATCTGTACCTGTGGCTTGAAAAGCAGCATTTTCATAGCTTCCGGGACTGTCAACCAAGAAATTTACGTGAAAGAGTGTTTGAATAAACGTCTGCTGCCTTTCCTGAAGAAACACGGTTGTTCCGTACTGTTTTGGCCGGATTTGGCACGGCAAAAAGGCCATGGAGTGGTACGCCGCCAACAACGTGCAGGTGGTTCCCAAGGACAAGAACCCTCCCAACACGCCAGAGCTCCGCCCAATTGAGAAATACTGGGCTATTGTCAAGCGGAACCTAAAGAAGACCAAAAAACTGCTAAGGGCGAGCAGCAGTTCAAGGCAAACTGGCTTTCTGCGGCGAAGAAGGTGGACAAGGTGGCTGTACAAAATCTGATGGCAGGGGTCAAGCGTAAGGCCCGGCAATTCGGATTTGGAAAAGCGGAAGCCTAACTGAATATTTTTCCTGAATTTTATACTAATTGAACTTGAAAAAGAAATTTAATTTGATTTTTTAAATAAACGATTTCACCGATTTACACGCGTTTTCCCTTGACCAAATTTTGACCGTATCACCCTTTATCTGGGTTCTAGTATTTGAAAGTTTGATGAGGACTCAGAATCTAATGTTTTTAGATGACATTACAAAAACTGTATGAGGTTTTTGTGTTACAAATGCTGGGATTAAAATCAGACTATTTTCAAACGATTAATGCTTCTGTTGCATTCGGGTTGATGTTACAGTCGGGCTAGTGACATTCGGGCAAATGAAGAGGTCTCGGACGATTCTGCTGACGAAACATGCAAAGAAATTATGATTATTTATGGAGACCGTGAATCACCTGATGGTCTTTGAGACAATTTCAGAGCAACCTGGTATCGTGGGTGAATATCTGAAAGACGTATTTTAAATTGTTCATTGTAATTGTAATTGTAATTGTTGTAAGATGTTCAGAATTATACTAAATCAACCTGAAGACATGAGAACACTCTGATCAGCTGAAGGACTTTGGAATATTTTCTAAATCACCTGGTATGATGAGAGAATATCTGGGAGATGTGATCTTCATCAGAATAGTACCTGATCAACCTGAAGACATCTTAAAACACATGGAATAATTTATTAGCTGCCTGGTATCATATGAGAGAATATCTGAGAGATGTGATTTAGATTGATGGATAGTTGGATATTTTCAGAATAATACATGATCAACATGAAGTCTTGGAATTTATCTAAAGGACTTCATGGAGATCTTAGAACACCTGCAGATCATTGGAATAATTTCTGAGCAGCCTTGCGAACATATAAGAGAATATATTCTTGATGTCAAAGACGGAAGCGATTTCATGCAGTTCTGTGAAGAACCATGGTCTTCCATGAAGTTCTATGAAATTCTTCTACTAGATGTTCCCGATCTGTTATGAAATACCTCTCATTTATTTGAAATTGCCTAAACTTTAATGATACTCCCTGAAACTTTTTAAAAATACAATTTCCATACAGTTTATTGTGCTCTATTTTTGTGTGAAGCTCTTCGTTATTTAAATGAAGTTCTCCAAACTTCTATAAAATATTCTCAAACTTCTCAGAAGTACCCAAAATTTCTGTAAAATTACCAAATTTCTATTGAATCTTCTCAAAAACATCCAAAGAAATTTGAAACAGAGTTCCATTCATGTTTCAAACCCGCTCAGAAATAAAACCGGATAGTCGAGCAGTTGCAAATCTGGTGCTCGAATAATGAAATTGTAACTCAGTATTACGAGGGGTGCGTTTCTGCTCTAATTTAAAATTGCAACAGTCCATATAAAATACAACAGCTTTGCGAACGGCCTAAGGCCGTTCGCAATGCTGAGTTTCAAAATTGTTTTAAACTACTCGTCAATTCTATAATTTGAAACTGTCAAAAATAAAACTGCAACACGATCAGCGCAACGCACAGTTCTAAAACATGTTTGTAATCATCAAGTTCCATAAACTTTACTGTTCTCTATGAAGTTCTCCGTTTTTTATTTGTGGAGCTCTTCGAAACATCTTCAACACATCCAAAGAAATTTGAAACAGAGTTCCATTCGTGTTTCAAACTCGCTCAGAAATAAAACAGAATAGTCGAGCAGTTGCAAATCTGGTGCAAAATAGTGCTCG